GACAAGTATAGCCTAAGTGTATGTTGGCTCAAATTCACCTCTAGAAACAGATCTTACTTCAAAGCCCTTAAGACTTGAAAAAGGTCTTGTGTATAGTTCATTAACAATAGGTCACATATCTTCAAAGATTCCTTTAGGGCCTCAGCCCTGTTAAGGAGATAACAATGAATAAAGGGATTTTATCACATCAGAAGATAGGATTAAGTGAAAGAAATTTAGATTGAAAAGTAAACTTAATCCAATTTAAGGATAATGCCTTAATTTATACTGGGCTTCCTCATTAGATGTAGGCTTCTCTGTTAAATGTAGCCTTGAAGAAGAATTTTAGGGTCTGAAATAGCATTCCTCCCATTTGAAGAATCGTTGAATGTTATGAAACATATTTGCTAAAATATTATACATTAATGTTACTCTGTATTGTTTTCCTCAGGCACTGTGTTTCATACACCTTTTATTTTTCTGTGACATTAATATATACTTCATTGCATGTTTGAGGCCATTTTATACAAGGAGAATGGGAGAGGGGTTGGGAGAGGCGACTCCCAACTCCTTGAATGCAAGATATTGAATTAATCTGAACAGTTAGTGTGGTGTCTGTCTCTCCCAATTAAATCGGTGTGAAACGGATGACATATATGCAGTTCAGCATTTCCTTTTAAGAATTAAACATTGGAAACTTAAAATTGCTAACTGCAGCTAGTTCCCATCTTTTTATGTTTTCTCTCTGTGTGTGTCTCTGCACACTGTTTATAATTTTGCAAAAATGCCCAATTTCAGTCATTTTTTCTCTGTTTCACCAAGGAACTCACACCAACCAATGTGAGTTTCAGTCGTAATTCCCAGGGGACTTGCTAGTTTTAACAACTTTCATATTGAAATTCATGAAATGCAAAAAAGAATACCAAACAAACCAAAGTCATCTGTAAATTAAAAGAGCAATAGGAGCAGTCATCCAAAGCTCACTAAAAGCCAAGGGATACACAAGCTTTTTACTTGACACCTAAAGGCCAGCAGCAATAGGCATTGCACAAATATTTGTGGAGGGGGAGGTGTTACATCCCAATTGGCATATATTATGCTACCACAGAGTTCAGTTAAATATTCTTGTTATTCTAAGGCCCTTTTGCCCAGTTGGCAAGTTATGTTTAGAATACAGTAAGCCTGCAACTTACACACACTTAGTTTGTGCGCATATAGCTTTACGCGCATGGCAAAATAATAATAAAAAGGACCGGACAGCGGGGAGGGTTTTCAGGAAAAAATGACTTTTGCAATCCCACCTGCCATTGAACCCAACGGGTTTTGACTATATGCCATTTTGGTTTAAGGCGCAATCCCTGGAACGTGAACCCTGCACAAGTTGTGGGAGTAGATTCCTTAAGGCCAGATCCTAAATGTGGCCCTCTAGACCTCTCTATCTGGCCCTTGGAACTCTGCTCAGCCACAGCTTTCTCCTCAAGGCATACCTGTAACTAATTTAGCATAACATTCTCCCGGAGTTTTGCTTGTTTTGCTTTAATGTGTTGAACTCTTGATTGTCTGGTCGGACGATAAGAGAGGGGTGTGTGAGTGTGAGGGGTGTGTAGAAACTAGCCTACTCCACAAAAATTGCATTCATTGCTCTGCCCATTTTTGTGTCTGGCTGTGCTCCCCATTAGTATGTAGCCCTGAAAAAGTTGCTGGGAAGGGAATGAAAGGGTTCCCCATCCAAGCCCTAGTGGGTTGCTGCTTACCAAAGTTAGGTAGGTTTTTCTGGTATTTGTTCTAGACTGAGATACTAAATGACTTAGAATCCCCCTCATAATAGCTGTACAAACACTATGATCATTTCTCCTTTAAGTGGTGCATTGCAATGCCTACTTATAAGTAAACTCTGATAACAGCCTAGGGAAAATACCTATGTTTCCATCGCTGAATATAGGCTGCCAGTCAAAGGAGACACTATAGCAGTGCTCTGACCTGCTACAATACAGCTTCAGTTGTTTATGAGTAGGTATCCTTGTATGCTATGGTATGCTATGATGCTCCTTCACAAAAATTAACTTTAACAAGTGTTAAACAAATTGCAGTTCCAAGTGGCACATGCTGTTTAAGTAAAACTAGAAGATACTCTCCCTTATGAATAACTGGAGAAAAACATACATCATGTGTAAAACTACGTAAGATACACGAAGACTGCTTTCAGAGCAGGGAAACAAGTAAGAAAATGCAAGACAGGACACTGATGTGAACATACCTTTAATTAGCCTTTACTGATAATCAAAATGAGCCATTTGTTCTCCTGGATGTTATGTGGATGGTTGACAGGTTTTTAAAAAGGAAACCTCATATAAAGCAATAAATGTCTACATTAGCAAACCTAAAGGCTTTAATGAATGTGTTGGTGGCAACTTTTAGAGAAACAACTTGTTTCATGTCAAACATATATTGGCTTATATAATAAATCACTGATAGAACAGCCAACTCTTTTTTTCTTCAGCACTGTCCCAACATTGATTAATGTGGCTCTTATAATGGAACAATGGTCAATGTGCACATAAGCATGAAAAGCTCTTCTGAAGTAATAGATAGCTTTGTCGTACATGCTGCATCTTATTAAGAGAAAAAGTCAAATACATACCCCACCCCACAACATCTTTCCATTCAGAACCTCAGCTAATTGATTAACACAGTTTTATGCAGCCTGTTCTTTGCCTTAAAACCGGGGTATAATTAAAGGCTTTCACAGCACCCAGTCTCAGTTTTGACAGTCCAGTAGGCCCATATGTCATCTGAAGTACAAAAAGCAGTAAGGTGTGTTAGTTGCAATCAGTAGTATTGCATACATGAGTGAAATTGCAAAAATAAAATAAAATCTATCTCTTACTGTGTTCAGCTTAAATGATTCGTATTGAAACATTAATACTTCCAGTTTTACCTTAGGATAGTTACAGGAACAGCTTTATTCTCTACATTAGTATAGAGAAATATACAACATTTAAATTGGGAAACTGCTGTATTATTTGTATAAAATTTGTTTTGAAACTCTTTTCCTGGGTAGTATGCCTGGTGGAGAGAAGAGTTTTCATCTTTATTTTCTAATCCACACAAGTTGATTTCTTGTCAGGAAAGAGCACACACAATGGGACATGAAAACTTTTCTGGTGCCATACATAAGTGTGAATATCCTTCTCTTTACGAATAAAGAGAGGGGTTATGAGCAGAGTTATAACTTTATAAAAGATTTGTAATGCCACTATTAGTTGTATACACCCAAAACTACCATAATTCTTTGCTCTCATTTGTGTCCAGATTGTAGCTATTCCCCAGAAAGGGAATAATAAGTTTCCTTGGCTCTTCATGTAGTCACTTAGTTCCCAGTACAGAGGTCTAGATACAGATAAGTGTGAGCAGAATTCTTCTGTTACTTCCCTTCTGCAGCCACCTATGCCTTATGCATTTGAGGGCACTTCCTCTTGAGGAAGATGTCCTCAAGACATCTTGAACAGCTCTGAGACCCCAGGGCATAGGGCCGGTATATAAATTAAAACAACAACAACAACAACAACAACAACAACAACAACAACAACGTCTCTACCGAGTTCTGACTCATGCTTCAGCAGCCCCTGCATGGGATACAAGGTGCCTTTGATCCAACTCCAGTGTCTCTATTTTATTTCAGGGCTTTTTTCCAGAGAAATATCCCCAAAATACAAGTACTGAAGGAGAAACACACCACACTGGTTCGCATTCAAATTATGTAAACACCCATAATTTCAACTAATGGAACTTGAGTATATAAATACTACCTCAAAATCCCATGCTGAACTTAAAAACTGACAGACCCTCACACAAACTAGATACCAACTTTCAAACAGTCAACACAGCATCGTCAACTTTAGCTGTCCCGAAACCTTAACTAGAATTTTGGTCGCATGAGAAAAAAACAGTACAAAGCTGGGCAACAAACAAAAAAACTAATACCAAAGCGCAGTCATTTTGTGTATTTGGTTCTTAATTTGGTGATCTCTTTCCAATTCCCCAGCGACATACATGGCTAATGTAAATCTAGCTCATTTCAGATGTCCTGCTATTTATATATTCTAGTGGCATGGATTCACCTCGTTTCTCTACTAAGTGTGTCAATGTCAATTTAGGCAAAGCTTTGAATTTCTTCTGTCTTCCTTTTGTTAGCAAAATCTGATTTGAACCATTTTGGTTGCTACAAGAGATCATATTTTAAAGAGTTTATTGTCATGAACCCTCTTCCAAACATACAATATGCTTTTTTTACTTTCCTGAATTTGGGGAACAATTTTGGAACATGTGCTGTGAATCTGGAAAGCTTGTACATTCCCTATCTCTCTGTATCTCTCTGTCTTATGCGTGTGTGTGTACACACACACACACTTTATCAGGAGAAGGCGCAAGAGAAGAGAAGAAATGGAACTAAAGTGCCTTTCCATAGGTTTTTCTAAACCTTTGGTCCTTTCTTTCCTTGAAATCTATTATTGAAGCTGATCATTACAAGAATTCTGTAATACCACTCCCCTTCTCTAGGGGGGTGGAGTTGCAGGCGGGCATCCCGGAACACCCTGTAACCCGGCAGGGGGCGGAGTGATGCCGCCCGCGTCATTGGGACTCCCAGCCACGTCATGCCCTCTGGCTGACCAATCAGGTTAGCCGGGGGCATGGCCGCTGCCGTTTAAATCGTGGCGCAGCTGGGGGCGGCAGCCTCCTTTTCGCCTCCTCGTTACAAGAATTCTGTAACTTACTTTTCTCCCTCTCCAAACCTGAAAGCCTGAATGCAGGGACTGTTTTATAAGACACTCTGTGAGCTCTTTTTTTTGGCAGAAGAGCAGGATTGAAATGCTCTAAATAAATAATAAATAAATACTTAGTCTTGGCTCCTATGCAAAATCCTCAATCTGCTTTTCAAACTTGGGAGGATGCACAATTTAGTCAAATGAGTTCCTCGCTGGAATCATTTGGTTTTGCAATATGACCTTGCCTCTGAAATCAAACATAAAATGAAGATCTTGTCACAATTTGTAGTTTTATTACCAATAGTACTTAGTAAGTTTTCAGTATGTTCCCAACTGTTAATTAGCTTCATGTCATTGAGAGCAGATTGACAAAATTTCTAGTCAGCAGTAATATTGGTTAGAATACATGCTGTTTTTAAAGCGTATGCAAAAAATATTGTGTTTTTTCTTTTTTCCACAGCTGTAGCAAAAGTCACAAGATGCACATGCTTCATGCTAATCACATTGAAATAAAGCAACTGATATACAGAAACTTGAAATGGGTGGGGTGGGGAGCACAAACATAGAATCTGCCTGGGTGGTTTCAATTAATGTCATTGTCCAGTACAAGGACAGGATGAGTTGATCCAGAAAAGAAAACCTAGCAGCTTGTTTTAACATGAGAGATGCACACTCTGAAATGCTGATGAGGAATTCAAATAACTATTCAGTTGTGACAGCTGTAATCCTTTTTTGAGCCAGCTATAGTGCATTTGAGAAAAACATGGTTTACTGGGAAAGCTACTGAACGCCATCTTTTCAGAGTCATAGAGAGTGAAGCCCCAAGTTTGAAAGTTTTAATTGGATTTCTAAGGGCTAATTCAGTACTGTAGTCGATTAATGTTATAATATAGCTATAGTTGCGAAGTTTAGGAATTAGGTTATTCTCCCCCACCCCATGTCTCTGTACACAGCTGCAAAATACTTCTCCATGTTGAAAGAATAAGTCCTTCCAGAACATGAAAGATTGGAGAGAATTTTGCTTAAGTTTTCTAGGGTATGGGTGGGGAACCTCCAACCTGCAGGCCAAGTTTGGTGTGTGAGGCTGCTTTCTCCCCAAACCTTGCACCACATGTGTGTATCCCCTATATCCCCCAATACTAACTTTGATTGGAGTTGTCACTCATAGGCTGCCCCTTAGTCCCATTTATTGGGTTTGGTGTTTTATGTGCGTATGTGTAGCGTGTTTGTTCTGCCTCTCCACCCCAGCCTCACACTGCATACTGAAGAGCTTGACATGTTAGCAGTCTAAACTACGGTACATTCCTTTAAAAAAAAAAAAGTACAATTAACAAGTGGTGAGGAAGAGTTGTAGAATGCAGATACTGCATAGAACTGCTAGTGAGTTCACTGCTAAGCTGCCTGTATCAGACTCATCTGTGCAGATGTATTGGTATGTTTTGAGTGGATGTCTGGCAAAATCAGAAGTGGGTACTTTACCTCAATCCCCAGAGCAATCCTCCTACTGTTTCTAAAGAAAATAAACCATTTTCTTTTGCTGTCTGCAATAAACACAGCTGAAGTCCATTGAGTGTGGAAGTTATTTGCAAGATTTATAGGACAGAATAAGTTGTCCTGGTTATAGTGTAACATGAATGCACTGTACGTTTACTAAGTACCTCGTGAAAGAGAGAGCATGTGCAGGAAATGGAAGAAGTGATTATGGTTCTTGAATAGAAAATAAAGCATAGTCTTATGGTCACTTCTTTGGACTTGGGGGGGGCATTGCTTTATGAAAAGAGAAGATAACAACATTACACTGAAGACGTGGTTGATTTAGAAATTTAAGAGGTGGTGGCTGGCAAAATAGGTTGGGGAATGAGAAGTCTTGGGAGAGGCTACTTCTATTCTGTCAGATATAAATTCTAGTTTCTGCTAGACTTTATGTAATATGAACGCCACTGTTGTTTTGTATTTTGATTTAATAACTTTTGTTTTGAAGTGAACGTTAATAACACCTCATCCTCCAGATTTACTGACCACTTGAGACATTTGTCAGTTGTAAAATAGACTTATGATAGGGGATATTAGCTCGGGGGAGAAAAATGGTATAATTTTGCACACAGATGTTACGTTTCTGTAGTATAAAGAGCCATTGTTTATATCTGAAGGTTTCCAGTTCAGTATGTCAGGCAGAGGAAATAACAATCTCAGGCAGCATTTTGTAGTTAGCAGTGTGAGCAGATAAGTCAGTACATATACCAATATATTGATTAAAGACTAGAAAACCATGTTTGTCTTAGAAATTATGTGTTGCTTTTAATTACATTTCTGTGTTTGTGGCATCTCTTGTATACAGAGTTCATGTACTGTTCCACCCCCCACCCCCTTGTTCCTCCACTCACAGGATTTTATATTTCTGGTCATTAAAGCCTTCAGAAACAAAACACCTAAGATTTATCTAAAACAGAAGTGGGAAACCATTGCCTTTGCAAGTCTTGTTGGACTGCAACTTTCATCAACCCCAAGCAGCATAGGTAGTGATGTGGGATGATAGGAGTTACATACAAGGACATCTGGAGGGACACAGTTGCCCATCCCTGATCAAAAGTACTTTGTCTCCATTTCTTACCTTTAAGGAATATATGGACTTCCTGACACTTCTCTGTGGCAGTATTGCCATCTAAATTGCTGTCTGAACTTAGTTTCTTTGACAACACTGTTCAAGCCAACGTTTGCGTTTTATCGGTGGCTTATGGCAACATCTTTGTGAACTGAAAACCTATGAACTGTCAAGGACGGGCAGGAGTCCGAGAGCTGGGCAGAGGAGGTGGGAGAGCAGGAGGATGATCTTAGGGAAGACACCAGTGATTTGTCGGGTTCTTTGCCACCGGTGAGGCAGGAGGAAGAGAGAGAGGAAGAATCTGGGCAGTCAGAGAAGTGGGGGAAGAGTTGCAGGAAGACAGAGTCCCAGAGAGAGCTGGGCCATTAAACTCTCCCGGGTCTCCTCCCCTGTTGTTTCCAAGGATAGTACTCATTTTATGTCTGCTTGAGCCTGACATATAGCCCACACAGTCAATCCTTTGAGAAAGTCACTGTAGAACAGAGTAAAATTCTTAAAAGTTGTATAATATGTATAATGAAATACAAAGCTACATACAGTCAGAGAAATAGCTGGCACCTGCAGCTACCAAGATGCACCAGTACCTCACACTTCTGATTATTTCAGTGTTTTGTTATTCTTGCAAGCTTTAAATACACAGCCAGTTTGTAAAAAATTTTCACTCAAATTGCAGAGCTGCTGCATGTAGTGTTCAAGGTACTTTTCCAATTAGGATCTGGTTGTTGCAACATCCAAAGCCCCTACAAGTGGAATTATTGCATGTGAATATATAACCAACAGGCTTAAGTCTAATTAATGCATGAAGGGGTTAAGACCATGGAGTAAGCTATACTGCCAGGCTTTACCTAGGTCACTCTGCCTCACCTTGGGAGGAAGGTAATCAAGCCTATTGTTGAACCTCTAGTCTACCTGATGAATTCAGCATGTGAAGAGGCAAAGTTGGTTGGTCCAGCTGGTTGGTCCAGTTTAGCCACATGTATCTCACAAGCCATTCTTGTGTTCCTATACCAATAATTTAGGAACTTTTACTACTTTTTGACTAAGCCAAGTTTTACTGTTTGTGCAACCTTTCTGACTCCTAGTTTTCACCATTACCTCCACCTCCGTATTGTTCTAGAAGGTTCCCAGTCCATTAGGACAAGCTTTTTAGGTTGCTCAGGGGCTGCATTCGATAGAAAGAATAGGAAATTTTTTAGTGCTTTGCCTTGTGTGAGCAGAAATAATTCCCACTAGTGCTATCATAGGATATAACCAATGTTATCCATTTATGTACCCATTTGGGAACTTGCTTAGAGTCTCTGTAGATGAATGTTTAGCTTCTAAACTATGTCAGGTTCATATAATAAGAAGTTGGACTTAAGGCCCAGGGTTCCAGCTGGAAAAGTCTCAAGAATCTTAATTAGAACAACAAAACACCATTGCATAATAACCCTATGTTTTTATTTCAAATTTTGGAAGGAGAAAATTGCTTACTGCCATTAAAGCTCTAAAAGCATTGGCTTGGCTTCTTGCATAACTAGTCAGCCAACTACTAGCGATACTAGTGTGAAAACAGAATAGGAAATAAAAGAAAACATGTATGTCTTTTTGGAGATGTGATCAGCAATGCCTGGAAGAGCAACTAACGGTGCTTATTTATAAATTTGGATTTTGTTGTTAAAGGAGACTTGTTGCTGGGGAAGGGGTTGATTCTATTCATTGAAGGAAAAATCAGTTGTTTTATATATATATTCCGACCACAATGAGTTTTGAAGGTGCTTTATTCGGAGCCTTTATCAATCTTACACTAAATAATCTGATCAGTATTCCGTCTTACCCTGAAAAGAGCAAATAAAGCATAACTCTTTGGGGATTAATTTACTATAGCCTGAAGCAGTAATGCTTCCCTGACAAACATTTTGTTGAATAAGCAGCATCATACCATCTGTTGACAGCTTGTACTTGTTACAGTAGCCAATGTCCAGGTGTGGTCTTCAGTGGCCAGTTTTTGGTCACTGAAATGCAAAGATTCCTGGATCCATTACATAATGTGGATAGAGTGTCAAAAAGTGTTTGTTTCACAGTGTTTCAAAAGAAGGCTAATGTTTTGTACTGGCAATTTATTATTGGTAACTGTCATCCATGCTATACTAGTCTTGAGGACTGCAGTCATCTATTATGCATGAGGCTAACTTGAATCTGAAAATGTAGGGCTACCTGTGATGCAAGATTTAGATAATTGTTTCTGCTGCTGCTGTGCTGTTTGGGGCTAAACCATGGTTTGGCTTTGTATTTTGTGTAACCCTGTTGTACCACCCCAATGTTTGCAGAACATTTCTTGCTTCCATTGGGGAATGCTAGGCATTAATATATTTTGGAATATATATGAGTTTTTTGGAAGAAATTTTGCAGCTACAGTTATGCAAGTATGGTATATGTGCTATATTTTCAAACAAGCGCACATTGCTATTCGATGAGGGGTCTCAAGGACAGGATCTAAATCAACATAATGGGTCATATGTTATATTTAGAAAAAAACCACATTTGTTAATTTTTATTGTAGTACATGTAGTATTATGAGCTGATACTAATAGCGGGAAATCAGTTCTATCAGTTGTTTGGTCTCCTTCCAAACAGTTAACAAAGATTTTAATGGCTCCTTCAAACAACCAAACAACCAAAAATAAAAATAAAAATAAAATCTCCATCCACATCTCATTGCAGTATTTCCTAATAGTGAGCATAACTATTACCCGTATCTTTACAGGTGTATTAGGAAAGTGACCAACACAAGCAATGTACAAAATAATAATATATTCTAGATTTTTAATGTAATATTTATAGATAAGGAAGTACCAAAATGTGCAATCCTTGTAGCAAATGAATCCTGCTACTCTCACCAATATTACTCTTGACTGTATGTAAATGAACATCTATGACACTAGTCACAATTTAAGTAGTCTTAGAAGTTCATATACTTTAAATGAACGGTTAACAATGAATCTAGAGCACATAAACTTTGAATGACTTGTAACAAGAATTGACGATTCAGTATATTCAATTAGTCTTTCAAAGGCATTTATTTGTTCAGCTTTCCCCTCGAAATGGTAAAGAGAATGCTAATCATAAGCTGTTGAAACTTGTCAGCATTAGCATTCAAAATCCTATGCCCCTGCTTTTCTTTAAAGGTCTTTGGTTAAAGTCATTACATGTTTTCACTAGCACATTCATAAATTATTCTGAGATAAAGAAAAATGGCTTGGCACAGCCAATTCACTTCCAGATTGATGATCAGCTTTTTTAAGGGGTGACTTTGTTTTTACAGAAGGTTGATTCACACATTTATCTCCATTTTCTATAGCAAGCTGGTTCCAACGGTTCTGAATTGGATCTTGTGTGTGTGTGTGTGTGCTTGCACACACTATCTCTCATAATCATTCCTATACAGAAATATAAATCTATACAGATACTTGTGTTTCATTTTCATGCAAGTGGGACCAGAGTGGCTGGGGCAACCCAGTCATATGGGCAGGGTACTACTACTAGTGCTGCTATTGCTACTACTATGTTGTCATGGGGAGTGTCTCTATTTAGTGTTCCAATATACACCTTTCCATATCCCCCCTTTTGTTTTCAACTTCCAACAGATAATCGGTATCAGACAATACACCAATAAGAGTGTCTAGTTTTCATTAGTCTATTTCAGGGTGCTTTGATGTCTTAAGCCCTCCCCCTTTTAATATATGTTTACTTTTCTGCAGCTTTTGGTTCCCCCAGACTAGCTTATATCTTTTTCTTGCTTGTGGTAATTCATTTGGCTACATGAGAACATTAATTTGGAAAACAATTTCCTTATTAGTATACATGATATGCTTTTATTGTACATTTATGTGAATGCAGGTTAGATTATTTGTAGTATCTTCATACTTTATGTGTGCATTCAAGGCAAAGTCATTTTCCTACTTACATCCCATTTTATTTTAATAGCTACTCCTTTACTTTTATCATTTGCTTTTCTATTGCAGTTGCCAAATCTAAAAAAAAAGTCCCCATCGTATGCTGTTGCCTTTAAATACCAGTCTGCTGCAGCATGCCATTCAACTTATTAAAATCTGATTCATGTGGTGCCAAGTTTAATCGCAAGGTTTGTGCTGGGCCAAGTATATCCATCAAGAAAAGAAAAATAGGAACCTCCCATGGGGAGGGTTGGATAGCTAAATTCTGTGAGCTTAGTTAACTTCAGTCTGCCCTGATTCTAAAGGATTGCTGCTGTCCACTTTCTTAGCATACCCATTTTTATTTCCTTCTAAATGGACAAGGGGCATGAGTTTAAATATATGAGCTAATAGGGCTTCCGTGGTCCAATCCACTAATTAGACTATCTTGCCCAGATGGTATTTAGCCTTTCTTTTTGGTAGAAAAAGCATGTGGTAATCATATTCATGAATTTTTATAAGCTCAAACATGCTACTAAAGGTTTAGCTTGCATATTTCCCAAACTTGTAGTAAAGCCAGACCACTGGGTGGAAACAAATGTGAATTTTAGTCTATATGCAGAATAGCATTCTTACTAAGCTGGTATATAGCACAGGCTAGAGAGAGGGGAAGCTATCTCAGTACCTTTCAAGAAGATGTAGTTGTCCCATTTGAGTGTGTATTTTAGAAATTACTGTGAAAATAGTATGCACCATGTATTATTTTAAATATGTAAGATACTTCTTTTGAATAGACAAAAATCAACTACGCCAACATATGCAGAGAATGAACTTAGTCTCTTAACCACATGTGAATAATATTAGTCATTAATTTAAATATACTTTCAAAGGTAAGCAGGTGTCCAGAGAGAGTTAATACTTAGTTAATTCAGCAGGCCCACCTTATTGTTTTGATTATACCCTTGTAATTCCCCTCTTTAAAAAATTCTGTTAATGTGAATGATCTTGCCACCTGCTGTGTTCTTTAAAATAGCCTGCCACAATGTTATAGAGAATACCCGCAAAAGAGTAATGTTTGCTTTTCTTTATTTAGCAATTGAGGAGACTAGTTTGCTTTGTTTAAAGGGTGACAAGTAAATAAACAAATAATATTTAAAAGAAACAAGAAACACAAGAAAAAGAAACTTCTCTAGACATTAAAGGATTTTACCCACCAACAGTTTTTAGCAGCATGGTAAGTGTTAGCACGCTGGGACGCTGGGAGGCGGGTGGTGCTGTGGGTTAAACCACAGAGCCTAGGACTTGCCAATCAGGAGATCGGCGGTTCGAATCCCCGCAACAGGGTGAGCTCCTGTTGCTCAGTCCCAGCTCCTGCCCACCTAGCAGTTCGAAAGCACGTCAAAGTGCAAGTAGATAAATAGGTACCGCTCAGGCGGGAAGATAAACGGCGTTTCCGTGCGCTGCTCTGGTTCGCCAGAAGCAGCTTAGTCATGCTGGCCACATGACCCGGAAGCTGTACGCCGGCTGCCTCGGCCAATAAAGCGAGATGAGCGCCGCAACCCCAGAGTCGGCCACAACTGGACCTAATGGTCAGGGGTCCCTTTACCTTTACCTTAAGTGCTAGCACACCAAAGAAGTACTTAAACAATCTGCATATTATTTCAGTGCTCCATTCTGGGGATTTTCACAAGTGTATCTGCACCACAGCCTTGCTCAGCCTGATGGATGACCTCTGTCTGGTGAGAGATGATAAAAGTGCAGTCCTGTTAATTCTTGATCTTTCAGTGGCTTTTGATACCATCAACCATGGTGTCTTCTTGGGAAAATCTTAATTGGGGGTGGGACACAAGGTGATACAGTGGTTCTACTCCTATCTGCATGACTGGTTCGAGAAAGTAGCATATCTGCTTAACCATATAGCTCTGTTTTTTGTTGCATTCTGTCTTATTCCTCATGCTTATTAACGTCTATATCTAGCTACTGAGTGAAGTTATCCAGGGATGTGGAGTGAGGTGATATAATTATGGTGATGACCCTCAGTTCTATTTTTCTTTGTCATATGAATAGGGCGAGGCTTTAGAGAAACTGGTGCCTGGATAGAATAATGCAGGGATGTCCAACTCCCAAGAATCTGCGATATACTTCCAGAATAAAAAACTGCCAGTGATGTACCCATGGGGGGGGGGAGAGCCAAAGTTGTTGAGCGTTTTTAAGGGGGTGTTACACCGTAAATAACTCACCATGCACCCTTAACTCCATCTTCCGTTTTTGCTATCATGCACAAAGGAAGGTCAGGGCGAGGGGACAGAGCCGAATGCTCTTTTTCCCCTGCGGAGGAAAGAGAGACCGCAATTGACCACAGTCACCTGGGGATCGACCTGTCAATCATGGCCGACCAGTTGGACATCCCTGGAATAATCCATAAGCTGAAGATGAATCCTGTTAAAATGGAGACATTGGTGGTTCTTGGATCTGCGAAATTTGAGCTTCTTCAGTTTCAGCAGAGTTGCCTTCTCCCTGAAAGAAAAGGTGCACAGTTTGGGGATACTCCTGGTGGTGGCCGTGGTGCCATGCAAAACCTTTTGCCAATTTCAACTGGTTTCCCAGCTGCAACCGTGTCTGGACAGTTTTGGTATACCCCTGTTTGAACTACCAGTGTGTCATACATATAATCATAGAATCTTAGAGTTGGAAGAGACCCAAGGGTTATCTAGTCCATCCCCCTGCGTGGTGCTGCTTTGAAGGCAACTTAGAAGCTTCAGTTAGTGAAGAATATGACCACCATAATGTTGATTGGTACATCTAGGTTTATGCATATTATGCCAGTTTTAAATGAACGTTCAATGTCTACTTATTCACTTCTTGCCCAGTTCAAGTTGCAACTACTTATATAGTCGTACCTTGGTTTTCAAACAGCTTAGTTCACAAACAACTTGGAACTCGAACAGTAGGTGTTCCGGTTTGTGAACTTTGCCTCAGAAGCCGAACGTCCGGTGTGACTTCGGTAGAGCATGATTAACGCCCCATGTTGGGCAAAAGATTCCTGCATTGCAGGAGGTTGGACTAGATGACCCTCATGGTACCTTTCAACTCTACAGTTCTATTATTCTATTATTTTTCTTCACCCAGTCAATTTAATCTTTTGTGCATATTAAGAATTGAAGGGTTCTCTGCAGTTTGATTTTTGTACCTTGAGTTTGATATAATTGTCTGTACACTGTTCTAGAATTCTAAATAGAATGAAGGATGGTATTAAAATGTTTTAAATATAAATAAATGTGCAATTAATAGTGATATAGTATTCTTCTTCATTAAGCTTATTAGTCATTTTTTTGACAATGCAACCCAAAGCAACTTTCAGCAATAAATAAATAACGTAACTAAATACCAACACAAAAGTGAGCTTAGAAAAATCTAAATCACATTCATATTTTTAAAACGAGGAGTAAAGCATCCCATCTTCTAAAGGAGGCTGCAGGTAATGTAAAGCCAAAGACCTGGCAAAAGGAAGTGTTTTGGTCTGGCGCCTTGAGATATTTAGTTATGGTGCTATGTGAGCTTCTTTGGGGTGACCATTCACAAGCAGAAAGCCACCACTGAAAAGGCACATTCTCGTGTTGCCACCCTCTGGACTTTCCATGGAGGGGGTCACACAGAGGGTTTCAGATAAGTACTGACTGTAGCACCATTTTAATGTGGAAAATCATTCACTTGATAGCTATCTATATAAAATATTTTCTCATGGTACTTGTTTGTCAAGTAGAGGTGTTTTAAAACACATTCTCACTATTACCTGTATGAGTTGACTCCACCTTTTCATTAAAGATATGCCTTCTTGAGACAAATTGGATCGAAGGGTGTGGGAGTACAAAGACATAATAAGAAAGCATAATGAGAAATCATTGGAGAAACCGAATGAATAAAGGTCATTACTGCTTGTTTGTGTTCACTGAAATAGCTGGTTAAAGAAATAATAAATATGTAGAATCATCCGTATCCTTTGGTATAAAATGTCAAAACTAGAGAATACTGAATATTGTTATCAGAGTTCACTAAGTAAAAGGGTATGTCATCTCATATTAATGTTTAACCTATGTAATTGTTTACATGGCCATTAATCTCTTAGATCTGTTGCAGAAATACAGAACGTGAAAAGCAAGGGGAAAGCTCTTTACAAATTTCTTATATTAAAAAGGGTTTTTAAATAGGGATGCAGGTAAATCTAGAAGGAGAAGATAAAAGGTCAGCACAAAGATAGCTATCAGCTGTGGAAAAGAATATTTGATAGAGTCACGACAGATCGCTGATCACTGTGATCAGAACATTGCTTGTGAATAATGCAGGCAATCAAGTGAAGACTGATGGGAGAAGTTTGGGACAGCAATCGGAAGCAAGTGAACAGGCATGAGAGAATAATTACTTTAAATGTTGCTTGGAAAGATGTTAGACAAAATGCTTGGATTCTAGAAGACAGCTTCTGTCAAAAGCAAATGCCAATGACTGTAGTTTCAGGGAATGGCAATTTTATTTAATGTTGAGGGGAAATGAATCACCGTTTGTTTAGTTTTAACTTACCGAGCAACATTTTGAAATCTTTCATAAAAATCTGAAATCTTTTCTTTCATAGGGAGCAAAGCTACCCTTGTCAATATGACATTACTTTCTCCCAGTTATCCCTTTTTCATAAAAAAATGGGTTTGCTGAATATCTGACTATTAATTTGATTGTCTAACACAAAAAATCCATGAGGAATATATGTTTCTGTGCTAACTATTACTGGCTATTTAGGCAGGAAATTATGATATGAAATACAATATATATGGGGCTATTGAAAAAAATCCATAGTAAAACTCATTCTTCCTGTTCTGATTAATGGAAATTTTAATGGAGTCTATGTTTATGAACAATGTTCAGGACACTGTAACTGCTAAATAAGTATTTTGACCTAGCAGAAGGTAAAGAAGAAAGATGTGTAAGATACAAAAGCTAACATTTGTTGTTTCTTGTATTTTGGGTTCCAGACACAATGGGTCAGTGTGTCTGGCTGTTAATTGGAAGGTTGATGGTTTGAGCCAACCCAGGGGTGGCTGGGGGCAGGATTCCTGCATCGCAGGGGGCTGGACTAGATGACCCTTGGGGGTACCTTCCAACTCTGCAATTCTTTAATTCCATGGAAACATATTAGTCACCATTCAAACAAACAAACAAAAAAGATTCAAGGCATAATATATCAAAAACTTCTGGAGGAGTAAAAATAATTAAAGAAATTAAAAAAAAATGAAGTCTAGTAGCACCTTAGAAACCAACTAAGTTTGTTCTAGGTATGAGCTTTCAGAGTATCTGAAGAAGTGTGCATGCACACGCAAGCTCATACCTAGAACAAACTTAGTTGGTCTCTAAGGTGCTACTAGACTATTTTTTAATTTGTTAAATCTTTTTTTAATTTTTTAATTATTTTGACTGCGTCAGACCAACACTGCTACCTACCTGAATCTAGAATTCTGGAGGAGTGGAAGGGTACTGAAACGGGTGTCACGGATCAAACATCTAGGTCTCTGACACAGAAGGTGGTCAGGTCCTCTATTCCCATTATACCTTCTCCTATCCAGCACCACTGATGTTGGGGCAGCATCTTTGCAACTCCCACCCATGCATATCTTAGGTCTGTCATCGTCCAGTATCACCATATACAATGGGTAGAGCAGAGCCACAGATAGTAATGCCACTGCTACATTCCTCCCACTGTCTCTCACTCAGAAAGAAACCAAATTTCCCTTTCCTGTCATCCTGGTAAGGATCACAAGCAGTTGCCCACAGGTCCTTATCCTTATGTGAACAGGAGCACCCCTGCCCCTGAAGGGGTGACCCCACCATGATAGTTGAGCCCTGTGCCCATGGCAACTCTGTCCTATAGGAAGGCAGGCTCTGGAGCACACCCATATCTCAGCTGTATCCACTCAGCTAGCAATCCAGCAATACCATACACTGCAATCATACAGAAAGATCTCTTATCCAGGCAGGCAGCAACCACACCAAAAGAGATAAACTCCAGACTGATGCAGGCAAAACACATGCATTATTGTTGACTGGGAACACATACTATGCAGAGGCCAGGATGGGGCCAACCAACCCTTCCCTGCTTCAGTATGCCTTGCCAAAAGAAGCTGAGAGTAGCTTCTGGTTTTCCAGATTCTCATAACCTGGAAGTGGTCAGAAAGGATGGTGGTGACTAGCTGTAATCTCTGCCAATTAGGATTATTTCAACTATGGGGCAGTGTTTTTGATCTATTTCAGTGTTAGATGAAGTTGCATGTGTTGTGGTAAACACTCTGTTAGCACATCAGTTATTAGACTAGCCTATTAACCTGAGTAAATTCTATCTATATATGAGCTTCCTTGGGGTGATCATTCACAAGCAGAAAGCCACCACTGAAAAGGCACATTCTCGTGTTGCCACCCTCTGGACTTTCCATGGAGGGGTCACACAGAGGGTTTCAGATGAGTACTGACTGTAGCACCACTTTAATGTGGAAAATCATTCATTTGATAGCTATCTATATAAAATATTTTCTCATGGTACTTGTTTGTCAAGTAGAGGTGTTTTAAAACACATTCTCACTATTACCTGTATGAGTTGACTCTACCTTTTCATTAAAGATATGCCTTCTTGAGACAAATTGGGGCAGTGTTTTTTATCTACTTCAGTGTTAGATGAAGTTGCATGTGTTGTGGTAGACACTCTGTTAGCACATCAGTTATTAGAATTTACTCAGGTTAATAGTCTAGTCTATCTAGATCAGGAGTGGCCTCTGATGTTGAATTACAACTCTCTTTATCCTTTGACAATTGGCCAAGCTGGAGGAGGTGAGAGATGGACACCATCAACATCTGAAGGGCACAATGTTAGTTATACATAAAATCTAAAAAAAAATTTCTATTATTTATGAAATGCCTTACCAAGTATGTGCTATGCATATCATAAATTTTCCAGTTGTCATTGCCAGTGTTCAGTACTTTAGAATGGCAATATTCATAAATTCAAATGTGCATTATATATATATATCACACATAAAAGGATAAACACTCCGTTTTAAAATTTGAGTAAATTCTCTTTCTTCCCCAGTTTCATGGCTGACTTCTGACTCCTATGCCTAAAATAGATAAGTTACTCCTGCATCCTATGTTTAGGTAAATGGCAACCAAATGTGAATGTCTTTTCTTTGCCCTGTTACTTTAAATGCAGTGCACATCTGGATGTGGTTCCCAGTGGGAGAGATTGTTGACTTGCATCAGCACTGGGGACATGTTCCCTTTACCCCATCTCATCTGCAGCAGCAGATTAGGGAATGAATATGCATGAACAGATATGAGAAAGAAAGGAAAGTTGGAAAGGGGGCTACAACAGAGTTTGCATATCCTCAAATGGCAACTTATGCAACAAACATGGAAACTCATGGAAATTAAGTGCCAGGATAAATAGTATTTGTTGTTCTTACAAATGTAATAGACCGTGATTGCATTGTAGGTTTGCTGTGTCAGAAGTGGGGACTTTGTTTCCATATCTGTCTATAATAGCTTTAGCTCTCTGTTTGACTGCCCTTTTTATGAAGTTTCCTGACATATTATTTTTGCAGTTTGTAATTCCTTGTTGGAGACAACATATTTGTGGGATCAGTAGAATTCTGTCATTTCTATTTGATAAATAGTGAACTGGTTCACTTGCTGGTTATAGGAAGAGACTGTCTATCAATTATCTATCTATCTATCTATCTATCTATCTATCTATCTATCTATCTATCCACTAAGCCCTAATAATTAGATACCCAATATACAAGAGAAAACGCTTTAATTTCACATTGTGAGCCTGCCTATGTTGGCTGTCTTAAATTCTAATTTAAGTTCTATGTTTCAGTCTTTTCTAATCAGAAACACAAGCTATCTGTGTTCGAGTTTCAACAGGAAAAGAACAAATGGAAAGAGTCTCCTACTTCTAATGTAATTATTTAATGCTCCAAATAGTATTGAGAAATGCATACAGTACATATAGCTATTGGAAATTACTACCCTGGGAAAACAAGAAGACTCTGTCTTGAATATCACCACAGACTGGGCTTCAGTGGATGGACAAAAGAATGCGGACAGTGAGGAAACATGATCTTCCAACTTAGTCTGCCCTTCTATTCTCTTTATAGAGGAATAGAGACATGAAAACTTGATCTCTCCGGAGGGAAATTGTAGTACAAATGACACAATAAATCCTTCTGTACCTCAAACTACTAAAGTTCCCCTAAAGAGGTGAATAAAATAAATCAGACATGCAAGCATAACACTCTTCTTTTTCTATCAATCGGGGCTTTCTTTATAAAGAAAAAGCACTGAGATGCAAAATGGTGAAAACATACTTTTTCTGGAACTTAACTGGAGATCATTTACAGCTTTACCTAGTCTCCTTCTTACAAGGAAGAGAAAGGACTTTTCCATGCTTTCCCCAACATTTAATAGGGCAGTAATGAATAGGTTTTCACAACATTGTTAACCTTAAACACATTTCAACCTTTCCCCTCTTCCCAAAATAACTTTGTTTAATTTCAGTGAAGGTTCAAATATACTACCAAATTATACTCGTTTTGACTGTTTTGACTGTCATGGCTTCCTTCCAAGGAATCTTGGGAGCTGTAGGTTTGAGACTGCCAAGAATTTGCTGTTGTAGCTTCTCGGCAGCCTTGCTATAACATCTTTGGGTTTTAAAATAAAAGCCATGGCAGTAAACTAGTTGAAAACCTGGTGTTGTAAAGGTTGCTGTACAAATGTAGTATAAGTATTTGGGAGGAATTTAAAATACCATATTACCATAAGAATCACAAAAAATGAACTGAAGTGCATGATAAAACTAGCAAGATAGCATGACAAAATTAAAATAAATGTAATCTTAATCAGTAAGTGTTTACAAGTGATGCAAATTTCAGATTGGTAAACACAACATATTTCTTCCTTAGATGTAGTTTTAAGTATGTTCTGGATTACAGTCCAAATCAGCGCTTAACTATTACAGAGGGTCAATTAAAAATCAATTGAATAAATAGCGCTATTCAAGTAGTGTGTGGGATGCAGGTTTATGACCTGAATTGTCTTATAGAGCTCAGTCAGACTACTTTCAAATACCGTGTTGCAGTATTCTTTAAAAACTCTTGAGAAATAATTTTACTCCAAACTTAAATTACCAAGAGAGCTGCAGTGCAGCGATAGTAGCAATGCAATGTATTCTGAACTTTGAGGGTAAATAGCAAGTATGTGTACAAACTCCTTTGGGAGAGTTAAAGTTTTATTTAAGTCATTGCAAATTCAGCGTCATATGCTTTTCTGCTTTTGGCTAATTTCTAAATGGTATTTAGACAGTATTTTCATATAGAAGCAAACTTGCTTAGTAAATAACATTCCTCTGGAAACACTGAATTTCTCAAGGTCACATTGCTGATACCATTAAGATTCTGTAGCCTTTTAATATATACGTTTGTCTTATTCCTCACATCTGCTTCCTACCTTAGCTTAAAAATGGATAATTATGGGTAATGGTTGTGATGTACCACTCTTCCTTGAAAGCGTAATTCACACTTTCTCCTCGCTTTCTGAAAGGTATAGTTTAAGTTTTCAACTTAATCTCTGTTCATACTAAAAGCTTATTGAAAATTATCACATGGGAATTGAACTTGGAGCAAAATGGAAATACTTTAACTGCTGTTAGAAACCACTGCTGTGTCTTTCTTTATTCACTGTTCTTATGTCAAGCATGAAAGGAGGAAGGCCAGCTAAAATGGAGATGAGGGGTTGTATGATGGCACTTTGTTGAATATGAATCCTGACATAATTTGTGGAATGAATAAAATGGTATAACAGGTATAATATGTATTTCAAAACGTATCAGAATGCATACCGAGCACTCGTATGAGTGCTTAAGGTACAAAGCTGGTTAAATTATGAAAACTGTATAGATGATGGTGAATTAAAAACAATTCCTTTCTAGATAATTGGTGATTAAAGTTTGTGAATACAAAACTATTCATAATTTTATAGTTTTAACCTAACTTTCATAGATTAAAGATAGCAGACCCTCCCTATTTTCCAGGGACAGCCCTGATTTAAAGAAGCTGTCCCGGTTTCTGATTTGATCCTGGCATGTCCTGCTTTTCCTTAGGATGCCCCCTATGTTTATTGGAGAAATGTTGGAGAGTATGGTGTTCTGAAGACAATCCTGTATAGGGAAGTGGGTTTTTGTTATGTTTAATGTTTTATTATGTTATTATATATGCAGGAAGCTGCCCGAAGTGCTGGGGCAACCCAATAAGATGTGTGGGGTATAAATAGCAAAATTATCAACATGGAATGGGACGTCCCTATTTTCATAAGAGAAATGTTAGGGTTTGGGATAGCTGCAGTATGGTAGGAAGCCATTTGGACCTCTGACATACTGTGTAATTATGTCCTTGGTACATTGGTATCTGGACTCTTGGTGTACCATTCCTTTCACAAAGGGGCTGCTGTGGGTACAGGTAGCCTCCTTTGTGATTTATATGCAGGCAGTCCAAAATTAAGTTCTTCGCTTTTAAAAATCTCAGGTAACAGGCCTATGAAATGCCTCTTTGTCTGAGATTTGGATTGCTGCTGCCAGTCAGAAAAACCAGTGCTGGATTAGATGGACCATTGGTTTCACTCTATATATACCTAATTAAGGACAAGCTGGACAACTATTAATTAGAAGTCATCACCACAGTGATAGACAGAAGGACAGAAACACAGCGTCAGATCTTCAGCTGCAACTGTCTAGGTTAGCCTTACCTTGGAACTTTGAGCTCACAGTTATCAAAGTTTTAGTCGGACTGTATGCCAGTAATATGTAATCGGAAAATGTTTTTTTCTAACATCTGTTATTGATCTGAAAATTTATATTGAGCTAATAGCCGATTTCCTATTGTTTTCCACAGCATTTCCAAATGCTGGCTTGTGATCACTGTATAGTGTGACAGTATGGTGTCCACTAGTCTTAAATGTCTCTCTGACAGTAGGCAGTGAGAGGAAGGCAGCAAAGCTTGTCAGACAGGCTGGTTTTCTAAAAAGGAAAGCTATATACAGCATATGTCAACTGATCAAAAGCCTCCTGGTTTTTGATCATTGGTGGATATAAGCGGAGTCATCCAAGCTTCCTACATTATAGTAAAATAAATGATGTTGCATTACTACTGACATAAAAAGTGGACATTGTTAGAATGTTTAATAATATGGGAAGAAAATTAGGGCCACATTTTAGAGAGGAAATGGTCCAGTCCTTAGGCCTCTTTTTTTCTTCCTTTTCTTCTCCCTTGAATGGTCTTTTCTATTTAGAAAGGCTATTGTGCTAAGAAAAAACCTTCTGTCATAATATGAACGAGCAGAAGAGAAGTGGCAGGATGTGATAGCCACTATAGATGTATAGAGGGAAGAAAAAGGAAGCAGGGATAAAAGTTGATCAAATGGATGTGATCTGAAGTGGCATGATATATTTTTGAATAGCAGCAATGAATAGTAGAAATTGAGAAGGGGTTTCAAGATGAAAAATAGGATAACTTTGATCATGTTAATATTGAGCTGTCAGCAAGCTGTCTAGAAATGCATATTGTAGGCTGAATCTGATATCATCAGGGAAAGTTTAATTTATTGCAGGTATGCACAGCTTTCCTAACTTTAAGCATAGGCAACCTCCTCCCTGCATAACAGTCTGATTGCAGAAAGACTGGTTCATGTTTTGAGGATACACAGTAGGAAACCTTCAAAGGTGCTGGGGGGTGAGAAGGGTTGGATTCTATGCAACAACATATGGATATGTCAGATGCTTTCATTCTTGTTTGATGGAACAAATTTTACCAGACTGGATTTGTAACATTCCAGTGGTAAATTTTATATAAAGTATATAACGCAATGTGGTAGCTAGGAGGGTGGTCTGGTTTAGCAGAAGCTGATGCAATATGTTAAGATTTCTGACCAAGTATTCCTTCAAGAGAGGGGTACTTATTTTGGTTTAAGATCCTGTCATATGTTAAAACAAGGCTTGTTTTTTGAGATCCAACAATGAATATAGGGCAGGAGAAAGTCAGTAAAATTATTTAGCAAAAGTAAACTAGAGATGGTAATGAGATCTTTTGTAGCCAAAAGGTATTTTCTTTTTATCCTGTTATCCACAGAAATGGAAAATAGAAATGCCTGTCTATTGTGTTTAAATCACAATTTCCAAAAGCTTAACTCCTCTGCTTTTAATTTACAAAAAGAAAGATGATGAAGAAAAATAAACACTGCTGTTACTTTAATAATGTCCTAACATTATACATAGAACATTCCTCCAAGTTCATATAGGTTGTTCTGTTATCCTCTTAGTTTTCAGATCCATTCTAAAGGGTTAAAGTTAACAAAACACATTTGCCAGGACTTTGCCAGAACCTTTGATTCATCATCCTAATAAGTTGTTGTGCTTGAAGTTGATCGCAATGACACTTGACCGCTGCCGTGTGATGGAAAGATAGTAATAGGTGCAGTGGTTGCTACATGACAGGCTTGTTTTGTTAACATCTGCCCTTTTAGTTAGAGAGAAAATATTGCTGTCAAGAAAGAAAGAAATATTTTCTTGTCCCCCACCCCTTTTATATGACTGCTGAAACCTCACATTGTCCATCAAGTGGTTGATTCCTAAGTGTGTTTTGAATTCATTGTTCCTGATATATAAACTGGATTCCCTGCTTTTCTGGGTATCCCTAATAGTTAAAATCTATACCTACAGCACATTAAGATGAAAGAGCTCTGATAGTGGAATATTGGTCTACTCTATGCAATAGAGCAATCACAGTTTTATTGCTTCCTTGGGTACGATAAGACGGAAACTTCAGTGGGGAGTGAACAGATCTAGAACTTTTCCAGTTGCTAGTTTCTCACTAGTTTTCTGCTTGCCAAGATTTGGGCTTTTTTAAATGGAACTGTGCCTAACTCACTGAATAGGCTGAGAGGCTGGAAAATTCTGATTACCTGAAGACTAGATAAGTAGCCCATTAAGGTGATGCAGTAGCACTTTTTAAAGACCTAGAACCCATACTCAAACTTGGATAAGTTGTTCATTTTTTTAGTGTTATTTTTTTAATTCTCTCTTTACTAGTATCCTTCACAATCATGAAAGGTAACTTGATTTATAACAGTTTAATTATGCAATTCTAAGACATTTTCTCATTTTTTTAGTGTTATTTTTTTAATTCTCTCTTTACTAGTATCCTTCACAATCATGAAAGCCAAAGCAGCTTCTTAATAATTATTATACTCACATTGCAGCGTTCATATTCCTAGCACACAAAGCTCACCCGATTCTGGAGACTGCCATTTTTTGTAGCAAGAGTTCCTGGGCATATAATGGTGTACCTGTTCACATGACTGTGATCTGAAGTGATGCAGTCATAGTCCATACTGGGTACCCTTGCCTTCTGACTTGATAATGCTCTTTCACCACCTAGCCATCTGCCCACAGGTATACTAGGAAGGGGAAGCTGTGGCCCTCCCTTTGGAGGGCTACAGCTTCCATATTGCCTAGCCATTGACCATTTTGCCTGCTTACGATGGGAGTTGTAAACAAAGCTTTTGGAGGGCTTCAGGTTTCCTATCCCTGGGCTACAATGTCTGTCTCTGCATGGAAAAAAACACACCACTTTGGGTCAGGAGGATGGCGCAGGAGGTGGTAAAGAGTCCCTTGAAGAAGTAATGATGCTGCTAACACAGTGATTCTGATTGCATTCTGATCTGATTGCTTTTTCCTTATTAATTCCTCTAGTCTGGGATAGAAAAGGTCTGGCGTGCTTCTTCTATTTTCTAAGGAGCCTTCTGGTACCAGCTGTGTTGATACCTTGTCTCTTTGCGATGAGTTCAGTGTCAAACTGATGAAAGGAACTGGACACTTTGTGCAGGCACTTCAGATGCTTTTAAAATGTGCTACCTTAGAGTATCTGATAATTTTTTAGGGTGAAAGGCACAGTACTCGCCCATCTCTCTCCCCCTCTCTATTTCCCTCTCTCTGTACTTGGATATAGCAAGCACTTTACACTTCTTTGTTAATCTAAGCTAGTTAATTGGTTCTATTAAGAGAATTTAAGATCAAAGTGGGGAAATATCTTATTGAGTAAATATGGAGTGGGGAACACTACACAAAGTATCATAGTTGTGACTGAGGTCCTCTAGCTACTCACAATGGATAAAAATGACAGAATTTTGCCTATTATGCAGCTCAAACAGGAAAGGAACATCAAAAGGATGATAGTATCTGATAGGTGTTAGAAGCTGGAATTTTCATATGCCTTTGAAGTTTGATCTAGTATATAAAATAGAGATAAGTTATATTTTCCTTCCAGCATAGCTTGCCTGAGACTCATAAGATGCAAAATTGTGATTTCATATTACACCATATTTCTGTGTATCAGCTGAAGAACTGGAATAATTCACCCTTTATCCCTCTCTTATACCTGCCTTTCAGAAATGCCGCCCCCTTCCCCCACAAAAAGCTTTAAGAATTATATGGGGTACTGTTTCAAATAACTAATTTTGTCCATGCATCCTGACCTCCTGGTTTAGGAGCTTTGTGGCTGAAGCTGAAGGGTATGAATACCTTCTCTCTTATGCCTTCCTGAGAGAATAGTTTGTTTTTGTTTCACTCAGTTGGAATCCATGTAACTGAACACTTGTCACTTTCAATTTCATTTTGGAGAGTTTAGGTTTGTACAGCTGAGACGGAGAGCCTAATTTGGTTTGTAGAACTTTAAACTACTGGAGGTATATGAAACGAATTTACCTATTAGATTATCAAGACTGATTTTACAAAATCAGTGTGACAGATAACATTTTGGGTTGTTACAATCACCAGAGAATGCCTGCCTAGAGCAGTGTTATCCATATAGCTTAAGCTAGCCTAACGGACTAAAGCTGGACTAAGCAATGAATATTTACTTGTGGAAGAGCATACAGACTTTAAGAGTAAACTTAGAACATTATGGAATCAGCAGCCACATGATACACAAGTGTCTTTCATTTCCAGTTGTTATGCTCACACAATGTTCTAAAAAAGAACTGGTACAGGGAATGTGTACTCCTGAACCATGCAAATCTATTTGTGGGCCCATTCGCAGTGAGCCTGAGGTTGCCAGAGTAGGGGCACAGGAAGCAATAAATGACATGACAATATTTTTTGGGATTGAGATGGCTATGACTTTATTGATTACAGATGTCAGTAGGCTTTGGAATAGGCATTGGGTATGTACGCTAAATCAACCAGCCCAATTGCTGGCTGTTTACTTCATCAAGGTCAATCCTGAGTTAAGGATCCCTATAGGATGTACATCAAATATGGATGAACACTTCAGGACACTATTTGGGGAATTCTATGGCCTGTTACCCCAATCTGGGTATACGGAAAAGATCCTTCCTCTTGGACCTCTTTATGAGGGTACACTGATACTTTGATCTGGAGGAAAGGGGGCAAGACTCCTTCCCACCCCCTCTGATTAGACTAAAGATCCTACTCAATGCCTTTTGCCGCCAGCAAGTAGTGACAGTTGCTATGAGGTAGGCAAAACCTCTAAACCAAACCAATTTGACTGTAGGAAAAATCCTCCCCAGTCCCGATTACAGTGACTGAGTAACTTCTCATACACATGCACCTCCCGCTTACCTTTGGACAGAGTGGGAGGTTAGTTGCCAACTGTGCTTCAGGAAGCAAGCACAACCAATTCAAATGGGACGGAGACTGATCTGAGCAAAGACAGGCTTGACTCGGGTCTGCCCCACAACCTGGCCATGACTGGCTGATTCACAGGAGGTGAGGAAGTGTCCTGTCACTCCCCACAGCCAGCTCAGCCAGCTGATATTGCCAGCCGGCTGTGTGGGAAGCCTACCCTCCAATCCCACCTACCCTCCCAGCTGCAACTGCTGAAAAGTTAAAGCAGGAGCACAACTAAGATTAATTGTTACATCCAGACTAGATATAAAATGCAACTGAGATTCCAGTGACTTTGTGTCTTTGGTGGGGTTGATAATGGCAGATAAAATAATAACGTATAATCCTTGACTGGTCTCTTAATTTATGTTTTATATAAATATGGAGTAGCATTCATATAAGAAACACTTTATTTACTACCCCAAAGCCATAAACATTTTAATATGCTGCAGCCAAAGCCTCCGTTTTGTAAGGGAAACTTCACTGCATCTTCACTCTAGTCTCAGACTTGCCTGTGATTGTTGGAGGAAGAGGTGCTTACATGAATTTATCAGTATAGTAGTTGTTTATGTTGTACAGTACTATTCTACTTTCATTGTACTAATTAGCTATATATGGAAAACTTTGAGAAGGCAATAACACATTTGTTTAAGCAATGGTCCCATCACTTCACCTTTTGTCTGTATATATGTGTGTGTAGAATTAGGACAATTAGAACTTTTTATTGTATTTATTGGTAGGGCTTTCACATATTTTCTATACATATATAGATTTAATTCTATCAATTTTTACTTGTTTTCTAATGATGATTTTTCTATTTTTTAATGGTTCTTATTTTGATCTGTAAGCTGCCTTGAGTCCTGTCAGGGGAAAAAGGTGTGATATAAATAAAAACATGTTAAAATTAATAATAATAACAACTGTCTTTTCTCTCTACAAGTTAAATATTTTCCTCAGCTAGTCAAATTGCCATTGTGTCCAGTCACAAATCAGTTGTGTGTGTGTGGTTTTATTTTATTTATGTACAGTAATGAAGAAAAGATTAGCAAGTATGTAATTGTTGAATTATGTTCAACATTTTGTATCTTCCTATTGAGTATGAGAGAGTTTGTAACAATTTGAAATGTAGTTTCGTCTTGCAGATATGTGTACAGTGAGGCAGTTCATAATATAACTAATATTGAGATATGCAGCTAGACATTCTGTAACGTTAGCTTATCTGTCTAATAGTTTGCTTGGCTAAGCACCCTATTTATGACTGATGAATAAGGCAAAAAATATATAAATAAAAAGCATGTGTGTGCTACTGTGCATGTATGCTTTTTAATTAAGTATAAATTCTATTTTCTCCACCTGAATTCAGATTCTCTGGGCTGTCATGCAAGACTTACATTTGATTCAGCCTTCTTTCTTTGTACTTCCCACAGCATTTCCCAGTTATTCCCAGTGAAAAGAGAAACACTGCAATTTTAAATATTTACAGTATCCTTCTTGAACTTTCTATGTTCCTCACATCTTCAGTACACTATTTTTTTGTAAATGTCTGATTGATACTTTGTGCTTACAAGGTGTGTAAACATCGCGAAATAAAATTTGATAAATATATGAAATGCATAGCATACCAGAAAAAATGTTACGGTCTATATGATAGCTATGTTACCTGAATCATAGGAAACTTTTCAATTGCAGTCCCTATGGAATCATCTGTATACTCTTTTGGGACCTACTATGTGTTTTTTTAGTATCAGTATACAATAGGTATATCTCGATTTATGTTTATTAAAACTTGCATATGCAAAATGGATATGCGGTGGAAGTGCTCAGAAACTTGGGAGGAAGTGATCATGTTCTCCTGGGCTTCGGGATACAGAGGCAAGAGAAAACTGAGTGTAGTCAGATACACACTCTAGAATTAAGGCTACAGTGGTGCCTCGCAAGACGAAATTAATCCGTTCCGCAAGAGTCTTCGTCTAGCGGTTTTTTCGTCTTGCGAAGCAAGCCCATTGACGGATTAGCGCTATTAGCGCTATCAGCTGTTTAGCGGCTATTAAAGGCTTAAAGGCTTAGGGGATTAGCTGCTAAAAGGCTATTAAAGGCTATTAAAGGCTTAGCAGATTAGATAAAGGGGGAAAAGCGAAAAAAATCTCAAGACTCGCAAGGTATTTTCGTCTTGCGAAGCAAGCCCATAGGGGAATTCGTCCTGCGAAGCAACTTCAAAACGGAAAACCCTTTCGTCTAGCGGTTTTTCCGTCTTGCGAGGCATTCGTCTTGCGGGGCACCACTGTATTTTCAAAAAGCTGAAGGAGCTACTGGGTGTGATCCCACGGTCAGAAATACTCAGTGAGAAGGGAGTCCCAAGAAGATGGGAGTTTCAAAATAGGGGCTCTCAGGGTATGACATACCTAAGCTTAAGAGCTCAAGATATGAGCAAGTATTTTGCCCATGTATGCAGTCCCTTTGCTCCTTCAATCACACGAGTCAGCCAGCAAACCCAGAGGCGGAGCTAGGTGCTCCGGCACCCGGACTGGCGTGCACCCAGGGGCAGGGCTAGCCACCTGCAGGGACGGGGCTAGCGTCCAGGGGCCTGCCACACGCCTCCTGGGGGTGCACGCCAGTCGCTGCACACATCCCGGCATGTGTGCGCCGGCTTCTGCAAGCCTCCGGGGGGGGTGTTTGGCGGCGATGTCACCCCCTCTCAGGGATGGCACCCGGGGCAGACCGCACCCACCACACCCACCTCAGTCCGCCTCTGGGCAAACCAGGAAGTTTTCCGTTAGCTATAGTTTTCTAACCAGGAGCTATGGTTAATAGCTTCAGTATCTCAGTTTGTTCAGGAAACTATAACTCAGGGAGGGCTTTGTTTCATTTTCTGGCTTGTGTGAAGAGGCTCCATTTATGAGGGAAAGCTTGTTCATATCTTGTCTTATTCAGCCAGAATGTGGTTCTCCAAACTTTCCCACTATATTTGGAAGCAGAATAGCATGATAAAATAATTGAACCCTCAATTGACATTGATTTGTTTTTTGCTATATATATATTTAAATATATATATATTGAAGTTTGAAATCTATATTTTGTTATAGGCATTTTTTCCTTAAACACTGACATTATAAGCTATTGTTTTCTACAGAGCTATATATTTTTGTCATTGTTGTTTTATTGATTAAATATAAAGCTCTAATCTTCTCAAAAATTACTTTGACTTTGAAATGAAATTATGATTACCAAGGACTTTTGTCTTATAAGATTCTTTCCAATTTTTGTCTGTAAACAACAGACTGTTTCTCATAGTGCAATCTGTCTCTAGATTGGAGCATCATAACTCTTTAGGACTGTGCAAATTTCCAACAGCAAAATATATGAAAACCTGACTATCGAGGTATGTTCAGCTAAGCTCCAGAGTCCTCACTTCTGCAGCTGGCTGTGTCCAGATAACTGCTTTATACTTCCCTGTTTTGCTCTGCAAGCCCATCTGCATTAGGCACAAACTGCTCAGGCTAACCATTCAGATGATATGGCAGTTGCATTATGGAGCAGGCACTGAAACATCTAGATATAGTTTTGCATGAGATGTAAACTACAGTTTTGCATTTTAAAGTAGACTCTACCTTGTTGCAGCTTTAGACTTGCTCAGGCTGCATGGTAACTGGCTATGAACAGAGCAAAGAAAGGTCAAAAGTGAGCACAAGTAGCCATGATAGGTTGATAAGTTGTGTGACAGTACATTGGTTGTAAATCTGTGGGATGTCAGTACAACCCTACAGTATGTTACTTAATTGGGAAAATGGAACATGACCTCCTTTTGAATGCCTGTCAGGCTTCCTCCTTGATTGGCGGAAAGCTGCAATGGCTTCCCTTCTCTTCTCCCTGTAACTTCCTAGCTAGATAGTAAATGAGGCTCAATGTGTTGTTTTGAGTTACAGTTATGTTGCAAGGAATGATACTGATATCTACCTTTCCTGTAGCAAAAGAGGTACCTTGCCTATGTACCCTTGCAAGCATAGGAAGTTTTTTATCCAGAGCTTTGTCATAATCCCAGAGCTCAGGCACACCCAGAGCACTGGGTCAGAGGCTATAATGGCAGCAGATGATGAGCTGGACCAGGCTTCTGACTATTAGTGTGGTGTTGATGATCAGATATCCACTGAATGTAGCCATGAACCTGCTGAACCCTGAACCCCACCCCCCCAGCAGAAGGGATGATGTGAAACCAGAGATGTGACCTTCTTAGATGCCTTCACCTTGGATCTGAAGAGCCTAGCATTTCATACATGACCTGACCAATCCAAAGGTGCAGAGAGCACACCCTGCTAGGCGTGGCATGGAGTGAAGGAGAAGCAGTTCTCTCTCCACCTTTTAAGAAATTGCAGTTCTCCAAAAAAGGGGGCAAAGCAAGAATTCGGCATGAAGGCAGAGGCTCAAGGGGCCTCAGTTTACCTCTTATTTGTGACACAATAGCCAAATTGCTTTATTGCGTTTTCCCATGGGCACCTTTTTGGGACCAGGACATCCTTATAGACAATTCAATAGGGAATGTGTTTACATTGTATTTGTCATAATTACTATTTTGAACTCTACACATTTTATTTCTAAGAAATTCTTCCTTACTTCTAAATCCAGCTTTCTCTAATGAATTAAATGTTATCTGATAGTACATCTTAAACTTATTGGTTTGGCTAGAAAAACACTTTCAAAAGATCATAAGCAACGGATTTGACAAAGACTAAACTGACCTTTCACCATCCACCTTTTCAGAGAGCATTGAAAAATAAAACTACCAGTCTCTTTTTAATTGTAGAGGCTCATCAATCTTTGCTAGGTATGGTCAGCTTAGATATGGCTTGTGAATGGGAAACATTTCCAAGATGCAATCACTTTTTGATACTGTGCTGTGAAGCACAGAAACACACTTTAATCATTTAGATTTTAAACTTCATCCCTCCTTATTCTTTTCCTTATTAATATAACCTGTTCAGCTTTTTCACTTGTCATTCCTATATCTGTTCACTTTTCTATCCTTTGTACTATAGGTCAACATATCTGGCTTTATCTATGACTGTCTCAGAGAAAATGTTTTCAAATACTATTAGTAATTTAAGCAAAGCACTGTTAGAGGAAGATTTATTTTCAGATTTTCTATCTTTATGTGCTGGTTGAAGCATGCAAGCATATAATAAAATTGTTGGATATTAAATTGTTCTGTATATTCTCTTTGTTCAAAAAAAGGTTTATCATTTCTTTCTCTCTTTTGCATACATGTCAATAATAGAGATAATAAAGATTTCAAGCACTCGAAGAAACAGAGTCTTTAATGACCCTCTAGATTACAGTGTTTCTCAAACTTGGGTCCCCAGCTGTTGTTGGACTATAGCTCCCATCATCCCTAGCTAGCAGGACCAGTGGTCAGGGATGATAGGAGTTGTAGTCCAACAACAGCTGAGGACCCAAGTTTGAGAAACACTGCTAATGCTATCCCACCAATCAAGGAGTAAGCTTAACAGGCATTGAAAAAGAGGTCATGTTCCATTTTCCCAATTAAATATCATACTGTAGGGTTGTACTGAGACCGCAAGGACTATGTTAAACTATATATTGTACGGAAATTCACTATAATGAGCATTTAAAAATTGTGATTTATTGCTTGTAATTGGATTCATTTTATTTACAAAATTGGATGAAGATAAAATGAAATTGACTTGACTCTCTTTACGAGATATGGGGAAGAAAGGTATAATATGTTTCAAATCAAATATGTTTACTCCTTTGTGGAACAATTTTTATATGACAATTTAAAACTAGACTTGCATTTGGAATGCAAATTTATACATGATTAATATGATTAGTAAAGGCTTCTTTACTAGGGAAAAAAGATTTTAATTTGAATATATTGGAATAAAGTGTTCAGAAACCAGAATCCTGTAACTGAAACTTGGAAGCAAAAGGAAATAACCCCACATGTTTTTCTGGAGCATGGTTCAATAATGACTATAAGTTATAATCTGCTCCTATTTTCTACTTCTCAATACTTTTGCTAGATTTATAAACCAACATTTCTATGCTTCTCTTGTCTAAATCCATGTTGAAGAACAGTTGCATAGCTTATCTGAAACTTATATTTTTGAAATAATCTAAGAAATGATAACCGAGAGGAAAATAAGGACTCAACATTTTCAAACTACTTTGAAAACAGTCTAAAAATCTGTCTTGAGATTTTTTTTAGGGAATTGGGTTTGGAATCTTGTACCTTCCCACCATATGGGAACTTTAAAAACATAGCAGATGTAATCCTTGGATAAATTATATTTTAGTGTTTCAAATAAAGTTTAGAGGACTATATTAATTTTGACAACATACTAAAGCTTGCACATGGAAAAATAAGTATAACATAGATTGGTTTCCCCCAAGCTAGGAAGACATAAGGTAAGTAAGCAATTAATGCCTGCTAAACATAGTTTAGCAAAATCATGCATTCAAAATTGTGGATGGATTAAAGTTTCACATAAAATTGGAAGAAACATTTGGTTGCACATATTTTGTTTTAAGAGGTTTTGTGAAGACAGCCACAAAACTAATATTTCCAATTAAGCATACTAACAGCTGATGTGCGGTTTACACTTTTACGGGTATGCAGATGAGAGAAACACACTGGCATTTGCATAACTAGACAAACTCATAACTTGCAGAGTTGTTAAATGCATAAATGCACACAAACTATCTCACTATATTGTACTTAACAGTAGGTGTGTTCTTATTCCCTCACAGCTCCAGCCTATCCTCTCAGCACTCTAGGATCATATTTCATCCTGAATCAAAATCTATCACCCAGTTTCAAAAAAACTCCTCTCAATTTATTGTAATAGGTCAGGTTGTTTTTTTATCTTACTGAAGCAAGTGTAGTCTGTGGATAGGTCCCAAGTCTGTAGCATCCAAGGAGGCTAAGGCCTCAAGACTTACCAAACAGTGGTTGGATAAGTCAAGAACGCAGAGTCAAAGTCAAAGATAAACTGGAGACAAGCACAGTTAATCAGTATGGGTCTAAAACACGAACCAGAGACAGTGTCTAAAGGTAAAAGTCCAGGGGTTAACAACACAGGAGAGCCGCTCTAGGTAAGAGTAGGTCTCGTTTCAGGGTCAGAGAGCTGGGTATTGAACCAGTGATGTATTCCATGTTGGCCATGGTGGCTGTGAAGTCTGATGTGGCCTTAGCATGCATGTTCAAGTCCCTCAGCACAATCACCAGCTATAATCAGGCACAGAGGTTGTTAAGCAGTGGGATGGATGCTACACCAATAAGATCAATGTTACGAGCCAATGAAAGGAACTAGTCCTGGATTTTTGTCCCCAGGTGGATTAGCTTCTTGGTGAAAGAGATAGCATTCTCAAAGTGCTTTTAATAATTGAAATGCACGTGCTTGTAACTATACCCTGGTGGGCAAAAGTAACCACTGCCAACCCTCTGTTGGATCAGTTAATGAATCAATCAGAATCAATAAACACCCTCTCCACCAGGCACCAATTGATACCATTTGGGAATACCCTCCACCCTCTGTCTCTGCCTTTGTCTCTCATCATGTGTAGGTTTGATCCTATGAAGTGGCGTAATATACCTAGCTTGAAGGGGACGTTAGAGAGCACCACCATTAGGAGAGAGACCTTCTCTGCCCTGATTAACATGACAGTGTTTTAATCATAGTTTGTGTTCAAGACACACTCTATATATAAAATCACATAACTATTTTATGTGAAGTCTGAACTTTGAAAAGAATTTCTGGAAGAAGTACAGCCAATTTTAAAACATTTCGTGTGTGTGTGTGTGTGCGCGCGCGCGTGCGCGCGCACGTGTATTGAACAGACATGTTGCTTTCTTCTATAAAGAGTTAAATGTGTCGAGTGATTCTTTAACGAAAAGAACAATGTTAAATAATACCATCTCCAGGAATATATTTTTAAGAAGTGAATGATCTGTTTATACTGACCCCAATGTATTCCCATTGTGTAATTGTGTAGTTCAAATATGTCCTTGCTTGTTCTTTGATTGTTATGCCTCTTAATATGCAGTTAGCATCTCCTCTCTCTCTCTCTCTCTCTCTCTCTCTCTCTCTCTCTCTCTCTCTTGGCAAACATTTAAAGTGCAAGTCATTTTTGGCTCCAGGAAGTAACAAAATTATCATCCAATGCAAACAGAGTTCACGAGAAGGTAAACTACTTACTGGCTTACACTGTGAGATGTGTTTGTCTATTCTGTCTTATTTTCAATGAAATGGATTTGTTAACGATGCCAGTTTGGAAAGAGTTCACTTAATGTATTGTTTCTCATTTCACTCAATTTTCCTTTGCACATTCATAATATTCATTCATGTAATTGATGGCATGGGAAATCTCTTCACTGAACATTGTTAACATTTCTTTTCTGTAAAAGAAGAATCAAGTGTGTGCTTTGCTTTTGTGACAGTAAACATGAGGCAAGTAACTATTGTCTGCTTCATTTATTTTTATCTCTCAGAAGACCTTGAGAGTGTCCCTGTTTCTGTTTGTAAATATGTTGCTTGTAAAATTCAGAGCATTGCTCCAGTCAGGGCTGGTCCTAGCATTAGGAAGAGTGAGGTCACTGTCCTAGGTGCCAGATTGTTGAGAAACAGTGATGTGTTGGAGGGAAGGGTTGTGTGCCCTCTAATTAGTCTGTTGTGCTCCAGGTGTAGCAGAGGATTGTGTCCCATGACCAGTGTTGAAATAAGATTCAACTGCCAGGATGGTTGGCTTTTGCTTGTGTAATGAGAGAGGCTGCCATCTTGTCCTTTGCCTCAGGAGCCCTGTTTCCAGTATTACTTTTGAGTAATGCTATGCTATATCTATGTTATCAATAGTATTTGAAATATTTGTAGATGATCACATGTGGGACATGTGGATTTACTTAAACAACAGTTGGGTGTGAAGTCTGTTGATTGCAATGATATATCATCTGATAATTATCAGTAATGTATTACTTAAGTGGAACTTCCACCTCAGGTGCCTACTGATATGTAGTAACAGAGCTGAGTTGTGTGCAACTTGCCTGCTCTCCTTAATATGCTTCATGTAGTACACAATAGTCATACAATACTTAATGTGCACAGCGACATGTCAACTCATATGGATTGTTAACACATAGGGATGTGTGTGTGTGTGCGCGCATGCGCACACACATGTGAAAAAAAGAGATACATGAAGAAGTCAAAAGTTTTAAGAGGATAATTTAAATGTCTGTCCTAGTCTGACACCTGACTCATATATTTTAGGACCCACCCTATTATCTTGATTGTAGTACATTTTGTTTTAATATTTTAAAATTATAATTTGCCCTCATGGTGAAGGTTGCGTAAGAAAACTAATAAATGACAAGAATAATAAATAATAATTGGAAAGGCGTTTTCTGCATTCCCAAAGCAACTAATTTAAGTCCTTCAACCTGACTGATTCCAACTGGCTTTCATTAGCAAGCCTCCAGGAGGCTACCTAAATTTAAACTAAGTTTCAATTTGATGACTTCAGTAAATATCTAATTACAAACAGCTTTTTCTGACAGCAGTGGGAGTTACCATTGCTGTAGTCTAAACCACTGAGCCTAGGGCTTGCCGATCAGAAGGTTGGCGGTTTAAATCCCCACGACAGGGTGAGCTCCTGTTGTTTGGTACCAGCTCCTGCCCACCTAGCCGTTCAAATGCACGTCAAAGTGCAAGTAGATAAATGGGTACTGCTCCTGCGGGAAGGTAAACGGCGTGCGCGCGCGCGCACACACACACACGTCTGTAAACCATGTGAGTGGTGCCATCTTAGCTACATAAGAATTTACACTCAGATAATGCATTTATTATTAGAATACAGCAGCGTTTCTCCGTTTTTTCTCTCCAGCCCATACTTTCAGAATAAAAATTTGCTTGCGACACACCAAATTTTTTATTGATAAGAAATACATCATGAAACAAAAAGAAACAAATCCTGGCAGTGGTTGATTTTGAGAAGATACATGTTCATATTCTGCAAATTTAAAAAATGTATTGTAATTGAAATGTTTAAATGTCCCTGAATCTTGCCATCCTCTCCTGCTACACCAGAAAAATAGATCTAGGGCAGTATGTAGTCAGAATCCTGCTCTGATGGCCTACATCCTCTTTGTTATTGACCAATCCAATAGAGACTAAAAGGTGATTTCACTACATATTTCAAGGGTTAATACCAAGGAGGTACAAGCTAAATAACAAAGGGTGCAAACTAAAAAGCACTTGATATATTAATTAACTTTATCATTAGATACATTTTAATATTCAATATTTACAGTCAGTGTGATGAAAAGGGGAACAGAATAATACTAAAGGCAATGGATGCCTGCCAGTTCATAGTCTTATGTGTACTTCCAGGCTCTAAATTGTCAAGTACTCCACTGCAGTGTATTCAAGCACAATGAAT